AAAAAAAAAAAAAAGTACAGGTAAGAACAAATTAAGGGACCCAGGCAATGACCACCAAAAGCCGCTAATGTTACAAATTAGGGGGGACACCCAGACATTTTCACCTCTGCATGCACCACCAGCTATAAGGCAGTTCTGGCAAAAAAAAAAAAAAAAAAAGAAAAACATTGTCACTAGAGTGTATGGTTTCTAGAAAACACCATTCTGGGGCTGGGTGCAGTGGCTCTCGCCTGTAATCCCAGCACTTTGGGAGGCTGAGATGGGCAAATCACTTGAGGTCAGGAGTTCAAAACCAGCCTGGCCAACATGGTGAAGCCCCATCGCTACTAAAAATACAAAAATTAGCCGGGCTTGGTAGCTCACGCCTGTAATCCCAGCTACTCAGGAGGCTGAGGCAGGAGAATCACTTGAAGCCAGGAGGCGGAGGTTGCAGTGAGCCGAGATCACGCCATTGCACTCCAGCCTGGGCAACAGAGCAAGACTCCATCCCTCACACACAAAAAAAAAAAAGAAAGAAAGAAAACACCATTCTGTGTGTGTGCCTGAAGATACAAGCTTCGTACCAAATCTGGCTGCACATCACAATAGCCCAGGGCGCTATTATGTTAAAATGCAGGTTCCAGTTACTTCTCTGAAGCTGAAATATCTGGGGGTGGGGCTCTGCCAAAACTGTGGTGCTGCCCGATCAGCCCCACACATCCTCAACCATAGGACCGTAGGACTGCCCTCAGCCTGAAAGACATATATGTTCACAGAGGTTAGGGGAGGGAAACCTGAAGATTCAAAGTGGGCTGTGGCCGGCCAGCAGCCATCGCATGCAGTCACCTTGGGAGGTGGCAGGTAAGCGCTTCTCACGAACCGTTCCTGTGAAATCTGCAGCTCCACTTCTAATTATACTGTGTACATCGACATGCCAGGCCTCTTCTGAGTTCGGTCTCACATGGGCATATCTCTGAGAGTCAGCCCTCTCGGTGTGTTGCCAAAATAAGTGCCTGGGCCTCTAAGGCTGAGGGCTGGACTCCCGCCACCCCGAGATGCTGCTGCTATCCTGGTGGGTCCCGAGGCTCACGCAGCTGCATCACCCCGCAGGGGCACGGGGGCGTGCTCCTCTCCGGCTCAGGTGTCTGCTGTGCTCAGGTCGTTCTGCATCCACACCACGTGGTTCCCCTGTCCCTTTTTAAAATTTTTTCTTTTTGAGATGGAGTCTCGCTCTGTCACTGGGCTGGAGTGCAGTGGCATAATCGCGGCTCACTGCGACCTCTGTCTCCCGGGTCCAAGTGATTCTCCTGCCTCAGCCTCCCCAGTAGTTGGGATTACAGGTACCCGCCACCAAGCCCAGCTAATTTTTGTATTTTTAGCAGAGACGGAGTTTCACCATGTTGGCCAGGATGGTCTTGCTCTCTTGGCCTCATGATCCACCTGCCTCGGCCTCCCAAAGTGCTGGGGTTACAGGCATGAGCCATCGCGCCCAGCCACCCCGCCCCACCTTTTTTTTTTTTTCCCCCGAGATGGAGTCTGGCTCTGTCACCCAGGCTGGAGTACAGTGGCGCGATCTTGGCTCATTGAGGCCTCTACCTCCTGGGTTCAAGTGATTCTCTCACCTCAGCGTCTGGAGTAGCTGGGATTACAGGCATCCACCACCACACCCGGCTAATTTTTGTATTTTTAGTAGAGACGGGGTTTCGCCCTGTTGGCCAGGCTAGTCTCGAACTTCTGACCTCAAGTGATCTGCCTGCCTCGGCCTCCCAAAGTGCTGGAATTACAGGCGTGAGCCAGCGCGTCCAGCACCCCCATCCATTTTATCTCCACACTACACTCATTTTTCAAGTGGCAGCTGAAGGACATCCCATGCATGAGCCTTCCCTGATGATTGCAGCACACTCATCTCCCCCTCTCATTTCTGCATCCTGCAATTACCGTCCAACCCACAAAATGCAACACTTCATTTCAGCGCCTGCTGACTTTGTCCTCTGTTGGTTGAACTCCCCATCATGATAGTCAACTCCCTAAATATGACTCATTTTTCTCTATTTCTCACAACACCAGCACAGGGAACAAAGTCGATATATAAAGATTTTGCTGTCTGACTTATACTTGGCTGCCACAAATAGCCCCAGAGTCTGATTAGCAGAGATGATATGGAAGAAAGAACGCAGAATCCAAAGACCTGGCGTTCTAGCCCTGGTCTCTGCAGGGACTCACTGCGGGACCCTCGGTGTCCTCTGCTATAAAATGCAGATAATCTCACCTGCACCTGGAGGGACTGTGGGCTCACCCGGGACGTAATGGGCTCTGTCAATGGTAAACTCTATGAGAAATACTGTCCTAGGAGTCATGTTTTCTCAGCATTTCTAAGTCACTCAAGTGCGGTTCTGGGGAAGACCCTGGGGGCGCTGAGAACTGCACTTCCAGGCTGCCTTTTGTTTTGTTTTGAGACAGAGTCTCGCTTTGTTGCCCAAGCTGGAGTGCAATGGCTCGATCTTGGCTCACTGCAACCTCTACCTCCTGGGTTCCAGCGATTCTCCTGCCTCAGCCTCCTGCATGGCTGGGATCACAGGCACCTGCCCCCATGCCCGGCTAATTCTTGTATTTCTAGTAGAGACAGGGTTTCACCATGTTGGCCAGGCCGGTCTCGAACCCCTGACCTCAGAAAATCCACCCGCCTTGGCCTTCCAAAGTGCTGGGCTTACAGGCGTGAGCCACCATGCCCGGCCCCAGGCTGCCTTTTGTTAAGGGCTTCAGAAAACCTATGCAGGGGGTCAGAAGTACTGCAGAGACTCAGAATTTGCTGATTCAGACAATGGAGGAAAAAGAATCAGCCTGTCCACTCTATCAGAGACTTGCCTGCCTCATCTTACCTCTGCCACGCTGCCCTGGGCCCAACTAGACAGGGAACCCTGAGAGGCCAGAGACAGGGCTGAGCAGAGCTGCTGGCTTGCAGGGGAGCCTTACCGTGGAGAGGTTCCTGTGTCCCTGCACGTGCTGGGTGACATTACCCCGGCCCACTCCCACATCCAGGTGGTTGAGCAGGGCCTTCAGCTGCTGCAGAGTGAGGCTGTCACCCTCGCCATAGCGATGCATTAGATCCTGCAGGAAGGAGGCAGCGCTGATAGCTGGCGCACCCGGGGACGAAGCGTGCGCCTCAGGGGTGGTTCTCCATAAGCCAAGCAGGGTCAGCAGGAGGCAGCTCTGGAAGGCCGGGTGCAGCAGCTTCATGGTGACTGAATAAGCCTGTGAGAGAAAAAGGCAGATGAAGCTGAGGCCTCTCCCTGTGTGCCGGCAACTGCGCCGGGCCCGTCCGCCACACACTAAACACGGTGAGACTATCCCTCGGTCTCTGCCTCTCAGCTCCTTCTTGAATTAGCCTTTGAGAAAAACCGTTCTTTTGAAGGGACAGAATAAAAACGAATAAAAAGGACAAACGAAACAGGTTTGATTAGATTGAAAAATTAAAAAAAAAAAAAAACAGCAATGTGGTTATGATTTTATTTATTTATTTAGAGACGGAGTTTCACTTATTGTCCAGGCTGCAGTGCAGTGGCGCAATCTTAGCTCACTACAGCCTCTGCCTCCTGGGTTCAAGTGATTCTCAGGCCTCCCGAGTAGCTGGGATTACAGGCGTCTGCCACCACACCCGGCTAATTTTTTTGTATTTATAGTACAGACAGGATTTCATCATGTTGACCAGGCTGGTCTCAAACTGGTGACCTCAGGTGATCCACCCACTTCGGCCTCCCAAAGTGCTGGAATTACAGGCGTGAGCCACTGCGCCCAGCCAGTTACGATTTTTTAGAAGTCCTTTTAGAGGTACTGAAATAACCATGAATTTAACATCCTTATATCTGGGGTCTGCTTCAAAATAAAGGAGGGGGTATGAGCACGGGGGTGTGGATGAGACATGATCAGGCATGAGCTGACATTCACTGGAACGAAGAGACAGGTAGATGGGAATTCATCAGACTCTTTTGTTTTTGTTTTTGTTTTAGATAGTCTTTCCGTTTCCCAGGCTAAAGTGCAGTGGTGTGATCTCGGCTCACTGCAACCTCTACCTCCCAGGTTTAGGCAATTCTCTTGCCTCAGCCTTCTGAGGACCTGGGATTACAGGCACCCGCCATCACGCCTGGCTAATTTTTGTATTTTTAGTAGAGATGGGGTTTCACCATGTTGGCCCGCTGGTCTCGAACTCCTGGGCTCAAGTGATCCACCCACCTCGGCCTCCCAAAGTGCTGGGATTATAGGCGTGAGTCACTGCGCCCGGACCTGTCTACTTTTATATATGTTTGAAATCCTCTGAAATAAAGCTGTTAAAAAATAAACATCAGCTGGGCGCTGTGGCTCACACCTGTAATCTGAGTACTTTGGGAGGCTGAGGTGGGTGGATCACAAGGTCAGGAGTTCGAGACCAGCTTAGCCAACATGGTGAAACCCCATCTCTACTAAAAATACAAAAAATTAGCCAGGCATGGTGGTGCACATCTGTAATCCCAGGAGGCTGAGGCAGGAGAATCACTTGAATCTGGGAGACTGAGGTTTGCAGTGAGCCAAGATCGCACCATTGCACTCTAGCCTGGGTGACACAGCGAGACTCCGTCTCAAAATAAATAAATAAATAAACAAACAAACACCATAACTAAAAAAGAAAAATTACAGACTGGCAAACATATATACCATTTGACGTGACATAGTTTTATTTCTATACTGTATAAATCACTAAACACATACAAAACACTCAGCCTCTCTATAGTATTGAGAATATAAATGTAAAACTTTGGCTGCTTCCATTTTGCTACTTATTAAAATAGCAACATAGCTTTTTTTTTTTTTTTTTTTTTTTTTTTTGAGATGGAGTTTCACTCTTGTTGTCCAGGCTGGAGTGCAATGATGCCAACTCGGCTCACTGCAACCTCCGCCTCCCAGGTTCAAGCAATTCTCCTGCCTCGGCCTCCCGAGTAGCTGGGATTACAGGCGCCTGCCACCATGCCTGGTTAATTTTTGTATTTTTAGTAGAGACAGGGATTTACCATATTGGTCAGGCTGGTCTTGAATTGCTGACCTCAGATGAGTCACCTGCCTCGGGCTCCCAAAGTGCTGGGATTACAGGCATAAGCCACCGCGCCCAGCCAGATTTTTTTAAGATAAAACATTTCATGTCAATGAGGCTAAGCAATAGAATAAGATACCAGTGACTGGATAAACAATGGGACTCTTGAAAAGCTATGTGATAATGAAAATATATAAATCCCTCAATTAACAATTAAATAAATAATTAATTTGCTCTAATAGAAGTAATCCAAAAGTAAAAAGGCTATGTGCAGAAAGATGTGTCATGGGTCAAGTAAATCATATCAGTTTCACGGAATATTATGCAGCTATAAATGAGTCATGGCATAATGGCAAGTTAAAAAGCAGAGCAATTATTTGGCAGAGTTTAGAACTGAGAAAGAACACAGACAAATGAGGCCGGGCACAGTGGCTCACGCTTGTAATCCCAACACTTCAGAAGGCCAAGGCGGGTGGATCATTTGAGCTCAGGAGTTCAAGACCAGCCTGGCCAACGTGGTGAAATCCCGTCTGTAGTAAAAATATGAAAATCAGCCAGGCACACACAATCCCAGCTACTTGGGAGGGTGAGGCAGGAGAGTCGCTTGAACCCAGGAGGCGGAGGTTGCAGTGAGCCGAGATAGTGCCACTGCACTCCAGCCTGGGCGACAGAGCGAGACTCTATATCAAAAAAAAAAAAAAAAAAAGAGAAAGAGAAAGAGAAAGAACAGACAAACGAAAGCTTAAAGTAAGATTGATGATGATTTTTCTTTTGTTAACCATCTCCCGTAGTATGGTTATAATTTCATTAGTGATCTAAACAAATTATCAAGAGGGGAAAATGAGTCTCCTTGCTCCAGACCAAGAAGCGGCCAATCACTGCAGCCATTTCTTCCCCAGGCACCCAGGGCTCAGGCACTAATCTCAGTACATCACACGCCCTGGGGCTTTGCTTATGACAGAGGAAGAGCAGCAGAGAGGCTGAGAGCAGGCTTGCCTGAATCCTGGCTCTGCCACTTACCAGCAGTGTGATCTTGGATAAATTATTTAACTAGAGTCAATATTCTAGAATCACTCAAAGCAGCAATGTAGCTTATCATGGCCTTCAGTGTCAGACAAACCTCCCTTGAATTTCTACACAGCTGCTTATAACTACAGACAAGCAAACTGGTCTCCCTCTATCCTCGGTTTTTTCATCTATAAAATTGGTATCCACCTCATTAGATCACTTTGAGGATCTAACAGCATAAGCTATGGCAAGGCCCTTGCCAAGCTTGCCTGAACCACATAGAAAGCACTCAATAAAATTTAGCTACAATAATTATAAGACTTATAATCAGCAGGATTCCCAACTCTGACTCCCTCAGCCCAAACATTAGGCTGCTAGTGGAACTGTCAGGAATATCCTGTGGCAAACTAAAGTATCTTAACTCCAGGCCCTGGGGGCACACACACCACGTAAGTCCCCTACTGTGATATTGCCAGGGACATTACATGCTTTAGGATCCACGTATGCGGCACGCACAGAATCTGGGGACAAAAAATATCACTCTTCAGTGGAATATATACTTTGAGTCCACATGGATGGATTCGGCATCAGCCACAATGACGGTTTGTACAAGTGCTACTTTGAGATTCACAACTCTCAAATCTCCACCAAGAGACAAATGTTAAATTTTGGCGAGCAGGGTGGATCTTAGGCAAGAATGACTAAAAACCTGTTGTACAAAGAAAGCAGTTATCCATCGGAGCAGACTGTGAACTGTCGATGGCATGAGTTGTGCTGTCAAAATAAGGGGGAGGTCTGCCTGCATTTAGAAAAGAAAAGGCAAAGAGATGATGGACAGCAGCTAGCATTTACCAAGCGCAGACCTTGCTAAGCACTTGGCATTCCCCAGTTCCTTTAACAGAAGCTGGGAAACTTACACCACGCAACAGACAAGGACACTGGGGTTCAGAGATTAGGAAACGTGACCCACAGAAGCAAGCAGCAAAGCCAGAAGTTGAATTGCTTTGTAAATTGAAGCCCGGTCTGAATGACGTTAAATTCAATGCTTTCTTAACCACCATGCCCTCTGCACGAAGACAGAAAAATACACATCCTGGAACCCATGGAGATCCACAAACTCCTGCATGTCTCTGTGCAGGTCTTTCCCAATGTCTAACAGCCCCAATAAACATCCAGATCTTGGCTTACAACGCCCTGCAATGCTATGAAGGGACAGCCCCGGGTAGCCTTTGGAGGACAGACTGTGTCACAGTGCTCGTGCCCTGGGGCCACTTCAACAAGATAAACCAACAGATGTTCCCCCCCTCAGCTGCATTTCTCAAACTTATTTGCTGTAACTTCAAACCCCAAAAGACTTCAGGTGTGGGAAACTCAGGGTGATTTTAGCAGCTTTACCTGGCTGGTATTCACCTAGAGGTGAGCATTTATGAAGCATTTACTTTTCCCAGACCCAGTGGCCCCTCGGCCCCTCAGGTGGCGGCTATGACAGCCTGGAGTGCTAGGGAAGAGGCACCTTCAGGTTGGACCTTCAGAAGAATGAGCCCACAAGAGCACCTTCGCTTCTCCCAGGTGACCTTTTCTCCCCCGCAGCATAGCTGCTCTTTCCTCCAGGACATGTGATGCACTGGGCATTGACGCCCACGAGACAGCATCCAGGCTCAGGTCTAGACCTGTCTCCATGGGGTGTGCAGATTCACAAGCAGAGCCCTCCTGCCTGGCCAGCGCTTGAGATACGCACTCACCCACAAGGGTTAGGGAGGATCTAGGACTGCGAGTGACACTCAAGTCCACGTGACCCCGGCCTTTTGGCAGGCATGAAAGGGGAGTTTTCTGCTCCGGTGGAGTTTTGTTTTCTTCTTAACTACAAGTTATTCTTAGCAGGGAAAAGGTTTGTAAAAAGTATTAGAGAGGAAAGAAAGAAGAGGGACCCACACACAGCGGTTGATGCTGCCGGGACAGGGAGGCTGGGCAGGGGTCCGCGTGCGTGGCCCCAGCTGCAGGAGGAAGCCCCACGCCAGGTTCCATTCCATATGTGGCCCCTGGAGAGCCACTCCAGTCCCCCCAGGGTGTTGGGCCAGCTGCCCTCAAGTAAGGACAGACACCTCTCAGGGGCAGGAAGACAAGTGGGAAGGAGACAAAATGAAGTGTGCTGTGGCCTGGGAACGCCTCCAGGCCAGCTCTT